TGTCAATCATATCAAGATGCACAATTTTAAATATACATTTTTTTACATTTAAACTCACGGTCTTCGCTGAGTCAGGATAAACTATGCCACATTATATATTGTGGTTTCATAATCTACATATTCTAAAGTAAACTGTGTGGTTGGAATTATGAATGTCGTGTCGTGATGTAATCATTTATTTCGCTGTAAGTATGCACGGCCTCAATATTGTAAGTAAGTTAAATACGTCAGTTTTATTTTTTGCATGAGATATCGTAAAACGGTAAACCAGATTTATTAATTATTTGTAAAATAAAATACCAAATCATTTGAAAAATAAAAAAAACGTTTATGTCAATTTTACAGATGTCAATTTGTAATGTGTTATAACAGACAGATACACTACAGGATGTACCACGTTTTTATTTTCATTGGAATGTGTGTGTGTGTGTGTGTGTGTGTGGTTATGTTTGTAATTTTCATAGGTTCACTATTGCTCTTTTCCTAAAAGACGACCCATCCAGCCGGTGTAAATACGTGATTATCGGTCACGCACTTCCTGATCGATGCAACAAAGATATCGTAAGACGGCCATGGTGCGACACCGCCTTTGTCACGTGTACGATAATATCGCTTGAATAAGCGTGTCCAGGTCATGAGGTCGCGTGCAACAGCTTGCGTCGGGCATTCAACAATAAAGTCAACACTGATACTAGTACCCCCTAGCAAACTGTAAAACACAACTCGTGGCTGTCACAACAATAAATGACAACATGTAAATTTCAATATGAAGCGTGTATGACATCGACAGTAAAGATGAACAATAAAATCATGTAAATACAAATTTACTCTAAACACCACTTCTCGTAATAACGGCATAGAAATATTGCTGCGAGTCTTAAAATACTTATGAATACAATTTTCCGTTTCAAATTTTAATAATTTATTAGAGGGATATCACCTTGCTATGACTAAATATGGAATTCTGTTTTTTTTGGGTTATTACTAGGTACTAGCACCGGTAAGTAAACAAGCAATAAAAATGCTGTATTTCCAACTGTTAATACGGTCTACGTACTTGGCTAGTATGAAAACGACAATTTAGAACTGAGTGTGTTCAATTCCCGTTGAATGAGTCGTTTCAAAATAAGATAATGACCATGCCGCATTGCCACACTAACATATTCACATACAACCCAATTATTGTTCAAATCGATGGGGGGTGTTGTTATGAATGCAAAGACAAATATGTTTATAATTTTAAAAACACGCAGGTGATTTGAGATTACCAGCTGTATCAGAAAATTGTTGTTTTTTGTAGTTTCTATATTTTTTTTTCATTTTCTTATGATTTTTCATGTTTTACTTTATACTGGCTTTATTATAGTAGTAATTGTATTTTAGTTTGCTTTCGAAAACCACCACCACGCAATTATATAACAACGCATGTACATTTACAGTATACATGAATAACAGCCGTATTAACAAGAATCCATCGTGATACTATAGTATTTATTATTATAAATTATGAAAATTGTTAAAAAATGATCTTGTTTTCTGATTTTTTTCAATTACATCATTTTTAAATAATGATGATCAAGATGAACAGATTACCGTTTTGAGTGGCATTTCTTAAAACCGTTTACGTTCTGATGGGAGATTTTGCTTGCACAAAAGATGCATTTGAAAAGAAGTGTTTAAAAATTATTTGTAACTTTATTTGTAACTTTATGTAAATTTATTTTGTACTCGTGCACAACTCAATATACTCTGAGGTGCATGAAGTTCAATTAATGTGCAAGTCACGGACAGCAAAGTCTGCTGTTACGTTATCCCTCCCCACGATAATTAAATTATAATTTGTAATTAATCGAGCAAAAGTACATCACAAATTCTGATGTCTATTTTTATATGCTATAGTGCTATATTATCCGTCTATCAATTGGAATGAAGGTTGGTATGACGTCATGAAGAAAATTGTGGTCACATAAGCCACTAGAAAATATTTAAAAAAAATGTCTTTTTAATTTCAAACAAGGTAACAAAATCAACTGATTCCACTGGAGCTGCTTAGTTTACAGTAAATTACTAAAATCATGTG